CTATGTCCTCAAGATGTTAGTAATTCAGTAGGGTGAAGCAGGCACATGAATGAGGCAGTTGTACGCACAGATGCACTGTACTGGGTTCCGTGAGGGCTGTAACTAACGCCGACTTTGTTCTCTTGATAAAATGGGGCCTCAGGAGCCAGGCCGCCCCAAGCCTGTAGGCCTGTGCCTAGGCCAGGAGTGGCCGGGGTCCCGGAACATGACAGAGGGTGCAGGTCGGGCTGAGGGGTCTGGCCCGACTCCTCACCCCCCGACCCCCGAGTGCACAAATTTTTGTGCACCGGGCTACTAATAATTAATAACTCAAGAATAAACTTTTGTGTACTCAAAACTATGAATCTACTTTTGCCCCACCCTGTAAAGAAACAAACCTGGTGCTGGGAAAGAAGTTGAAAGGCAGAAGAGAAACCAGTCAGACTTCTGTTGATGAAGAGTCAGCTGACGGTGGCTCAGAAAATTATTGCACTTTGATTTTCTGCCCCCTCCATGTCTAAACCAGAAGTTCCTTTGGTGAATGTATGAACTGTAGCAATAATGTAGGCATCAATATTACACTGTTCAATAACAAGTGCTGTCTTAGTTACCAGTCTGAGAATAGCCCAACTCAGCAGAAAAAGTCCCTTGTACTGTGTGAACTGACCATCTAATTTAAAGAGAACTTTCTAATCCTGTTGAAACTGCCAGTTTGCTCCTTCCCTATTCCATCTTTTCTCTCTTTACCCCCAGACGTTACCACTATTCTGATTTTTATGTTTATTATTTTCTTTGCACTTTCCTGTTTTTTATTGAGATATAACATACATACAGTCCAAAAACCTTACGTGTGCAGCTGCCTGAATTTTTAGTCATGAATTCACCTGAGAAACCACCATCCAGATCAAGATACAGAACATTTCCAGCATGCCACCAGCCTCCCTGTTCAGTTAATTACCTCCAAGGGCAGCCACTGTTGTGGTCTCTAATATTTAGATCAGTTTTGCCAGTTGGGGAATTTCATGTGAATGTATCATACATATGTACTCTTTTTGTGTCTGGCTTCTTTTGTTAGTGTCATCTTAGATTGATCCGTATTGTCAGTAGCAGTAGGTTGTTTTTTTTACTGCTGATCAGAATTTCACTGTGTGAATATATCACAAATTTGTTTGTTTGTTTTTGTTAATCCTCACCCAAGGACATTTTTTCCATTTTTTTTTTTTTTTGAGAGTGTGAAAGGAAAGGAGAGGGAGGGAGAAGGAGGGGGAGGAAGAAGGAGAGCGAGAAACATTGATGCGCGAGAGACATCAATTGGTTGCTTCTCACACGAATCCTGCAACCCAGGCCCGCAACCTTGACTGAACCCAAGCCCTTGACTTTGCTGTTGGTTGATATTAGGTTTGGGGTTATTTGCAAACTTTGCTTCCATCAACCCATAATACTTCACTGCTAATAGTTTGTGATTTAGGAGTGCTTTGTAGACTTCTTTGACTTAGCTTACTTTATGAAATCAAAGTCAAGTTCTTTAAGTGGTTTGGATCCTCGTTTTCTAAACAAGAGTACCTTTTTCTCTTAACAATGAGAGATTATTTGGTTTGCTTTTACTAGTATAGACCTTTAGGTCCTTAGATCATAGCAACTTAAGTTCTGTTGAGTATACTTTTTTGGTATGTCTTTTTTTTTTTAAATGTTTATGTAATTATGAGCACTGTTCCTCTACTTATAATTTCAGGAAAGTATCCTTGATGAACTTGACAAAGAAGAGAGTACCCATGATTCTGTGTCTCAAGAATCAGAGTCAGAAGAAGATGGAATTCATGTAGATTCACAAAAGGCCCTTGCTCTAAAAGAAAAGGTACTCTTCGGCTTAGCTTTAGGTTTCTTCAGGTGGGCAGGATGTATAGAAAATCATGTGGATCCCAGGATTTCTTCAATATAGTTTAGGGGATGTTCACTCTCTAAGTTGTTATTGGCTGTACCCTTATGGAAAGGCAGTATAATTTAGTGATTAGGAGTGTGTTTTCTAAAATCAGACTGCCTGGGTTCAAATCCTGTGATAAGTTCTATAAATTCCTTGTATTAAATTTTCTCAGCTGTAAAATAAAATTAATATTATTAATAAACCTCAATGGGTTGTGAATATTAAATTAATTCTTATATGTAAAAGTGCTTAGACCATACAGAGAGTTGTTCTGGGATTTTAGTAATAGACTGAAGTAACTTAAAATTAGTGTGTGACTCTTGATGTGAATATTATATTCCACGTCTCCATATCACAGGCCATCTGTGCTTACTTTTTGGAATGTTCATCTTTCTGAGGAGTGCCTCATTATTATAAAACTAGGTATATTGCTTTTCAAAAAGATGGCACTTTTTAAACTTCATCTTGATACTTTTTTTGTTTACATTTCTGCAGGATATTAATGACAATAAAAATATATAATGCTAAGTATTTTATTCATTTTTCTGCCAGAACCCTCAGATTGTGACCAAACTATGACTGTATAGCAAATTTCAGCACTTGTAAAAAGATTATTTTGTTTTATTTTCATTTCTTTCTGTTGACCTTGATCACACAGCTAATTAATTATAAAGAGCTGGATAATATTGGCAAAAAATGGCTCTGTAATTCTGTGCCAGTATATATCTGACTTGTATGCTTTTTTCAGGGCAATAAGTATTTCAAACAAGGAAAATATGATGAAGCAATTGAATGCTACACTAAAGGCATGAATGCCGATCCATATAATCCCGTGTTGCCAACAAACAGAGCATCGGCATACTTTAGAATGAAAAAGTAAGGAATTTTTATAATGTGTACATATTTTAGTATGGAGACTGATATTTTAAAATAATTTTTATGACAAAAATGTGTGGGAAGGACTGAAAAAGTACAGCAGGTCCTCGGGTTACGTTGGAAATCCGTTCCTACGGTGCGACGTAACGTGATTTTCGCCGTAAGTCGGAACCCACCTACATAAGCACCTACGTCACTCACATGGAGCACATACACAGCAGTAATGAAGTGAAACAGTAAAAAAAATTTAAAAGAAATAACAACTCCTGACCTTTACTTGTGGTAAATAAATAACAAAAAACATAAAGCACATATGTACATACGTCGGAACTTTTTTTTTTTTTAATGAATAAATGGGAGATGGCGATGTAACCATGAAACGACGTATGTTGAGTCTGGCGTAACCCGAGGACTGCCTGTACTACATTTATTTTCAGCTGTAAATTCTTATAGCTCACTCCCTCTTACTGAGTTATTTTATTTAAGCCATTTTATTTAAAATATTCAGGTGCTCAAACCATGCCCCGTAGCTCACTTTACTGAAGTGTTCCTCCTCAAAAAATCTAATAATGATGTTCTACACCTAATTCACAAAAGAAAAAGCAAGTAAGCTGGGTGATTTCCTTTTTAGAAATTAATTTTTCTCCATTATTTTGAAAAATTGTTTATCTACTATTTAACCTAGAGAACTTTTATTATGGTAAACTTAAAATATATTCCAACATTAATCTTTAAGTCATAATGACTCTAAATACATTCTTTTTTTTTTTAAAATATATTTTATTTTTTACAGAGAGGAAGGGAGAGGGATAGAGAGTTAGAAACATCGATGAGAGAGAAACATTGACCTGCTGCCTCCTGCACACTCCCTACTGGGGATGTGCCCGCAACCAAGGTACATGCCCTTGACTGGAATTGAACCTGGGACCCTTGAGTCCGCAGGCTGACGCTCTATCCACTGAGCCAAACCGGTTAGGGCTAAATACATTCTTACTGTCGAAGAAAATAAATGTGTTATAGTCTTATCATATGCAGGGAATTTTTAAAAAGATAAACACCATCAAGGAAGACATTCTTACTGTTTTAATTATCATTTGGAAATATGAATTATATTGGTGTCTGAGTTTTTACTATTTTAAATAGCATATTTATTTTTTTTAATCCTCACCCAAGGATATATTTTTATTGATTTCAGAAGTGGGTTAGGGGGGAGAAAGAGAGAGACATCAGTGTCAGAGAGAAACATTGATCCATGGCCTACCATACATGCCCCAGCCGGGGATCAAACCCACAACCTAGATATGTGCCTTGACTGGGAGTTGAACCTACAACCTTTTTGGTGCACGGGACGATGCTCCAACCAACTGAGCCACCTGGCCAAGGCTAAGTAACCTATTTTTAGATCTTTGAAATTTATGTTATTAATATCCTGACAAATTAGGGGAATATTCATATTTTATAATATTTGATATCTACAATATGTATAAGTGCTGAAGAATAATTTTAAGTAATCTCACATGAACCCATCACACAATTTAAGAACCAGAACGTTATTACTTTTGAGGCTACCTTGCTACACCTCTCCATATGCTGACCCTTTTCACTTCTAGTTAACCACTACCTTCAGTTGTATATTTATCAGTTTTGATTAAAAAAATGTTTATTATATACATAATATATTGTATAACTTTGCTTATTTTTGAACTATAGAAGTATATTATACTGAATGTAATCTTAAATTTCTCTGAACATTAAATTTCTCAGATTCCTCATGTTTTCATATAGCTGTAGATCTCTTTTTCATTGTTACATACAGTTTCTTCTTAGGAATACACCATGATGTATCCATTCTCCTGTTGCTGAATTGTTGGTTTATTTCTTCCTCTCCTTCTCCCTATTCTCTCTACCTCCCATTCTACTTTCCTGCCTTATTTAAAAACATTGATACTATAAACACCTTTCTACATGTTTCTTGGTGCGTGGTGGTAGGGTATGCACATGTTCAACTTTAAATGGTGATGACCAGCCCTTGCTGGTTTGGCTCAATGGATAGAGCGTCAGCCTGCGGACTGAAGGGTCCCAGGTTCGATTCTGGCCAAGGGCACATGCCTGAGTTGCGACTTGATCCCCAGTAGGGGGCCTGCAGGAGGCAGTAATCAATGATCCTCTTTCATCATTGATGTTTCTATTTCTCTCTCCCTCTCCCGTTCTCTCTAAAATCAATAAAATATATTTTTAAAAAAATGGTCATGACCATTTGTTATAAAGGTAGTTGTACAAGGTTACAGTTCCCATTAGCAGTGTATAAGAATGCCTGCTCCATATCCTTTTTTTTTTTTTTACTTTTTTTATTGAATTTATTGGGGGTGACAGCCTATCTAATAATAGACAAATATGGTAATTGACCGTACCTTCGATACGTCCCCATTGGCTAATCAGCGAGATATGCAAATTAACCACCAACAAAGATGGCGGTTAATTTGCATACATAGGTGCGAAGCGGCAGAGCGAAGACTAAAGGTGGCTCTGGCCGGAGTGAAGGCCTGGGTCCCGGCTGCCGGAGGAAAACGGGTGCTGGCAGCCAGGGGAAGGGAAGGCCTATTGCACAAATCTTTTCGTGCAACAGGCCTCTAGTTGGTTAATAAAAATACAGATTTCAGGTGTACAATTCTATAAGACATCTCTGTGTTGTTGTATTGTGCGTTCACCACCTCAAGTCCTGTTCTGTATCTTTACCAATCTATATAATAAAAGCCTAAACGACCTTTATTGCGGAATGACCAGAATGACCGGTCACTATGATGTGCACTGACCACCAGGGGGCATATGCTCAACGCAGGAGCTTCCCCTTGGTGGTCAGTGCGCTCCCACAGGGGGAGTGCTGCTCAGCCAGAAGCCGGGCCCATGACTGGTGAGCGCAGCGGCGGTTGCGGGAGCCCCTCCCACCTCCGCGGCAGCACCAAGGAGCACTGAACTGAGTGGTAAGGAGCAGTGAGCAGGCAGGCGGTAAGGAGTGAGGGGTCCCAGACTGCAAGAGGGCGCAGGCTGGGCTGAGGAACCCCCTCCCCAGTGCACGAATTTTGTGCACCGGGCCTCTAGTACTGATATAATAGGGCTTCTTAATTGTTTTCAGTCAAGGAGTTGTAAAATGGTAATTCATTGTGGTCTTAATTTGCATTTCCCCAGTTTCTAATGAGGTTGAGCATCTTACATGATTATTCACCACTTGTATTTTCTGTGAAATGCTTGTTTTGTCTTTTGGCCATTTTTCTGTTAGGCTGTTTTTGCTATTTTTACTTTATTCTAGGTACTAATTCTCTAGTGCTTGCTTGTAGTAATTAATTATCTTCTAATTTGTAGCTTATTTCCTTTATGGAGTCTTGATAAATGGAAATTCATAATTTTAATGTATTTTTAAAAAATGTTAGCACTTTTAAAAATATGATTTGTTAATATAGTTTCCTTCCCTGAGTTTATAATCTCCTGTGTTCTGAAGTTTTTATGTCTTACGTTTCACATTTAAACATTTTTATATATGCTGAAGGTAGAATTCCAATTTCATATCTTTTCATATGAATATCCCAATTGTTCCAGCCCTATTTATTGAATATCCATGCTTTCCCCATGGATCTGCAGTGCTACCATGTCATATCTCAAGTTTGCATGGATCTCTTTCTCATCCCTCTATTCTTACATTGATCTGTTGCCTCTTACTAACTCCATTCCACACTATCTTTAATTACTATAGCATTATAATTTTAAGTCTTGGTGGTATTTGGTATAGGGCATGTTATCCTGCCTTATTCTTCAGGAAGGTGTTGGATGTTCTTGGATTTTTGCTTATCAATATAAATTTAGGATCATCTTGTCAAATTTCTTGAAAAATTATGTTGGGATTTTTCTTACAATTGCTTTGTATTTATAGATTAGTTTGGAGAGAATTATAGTTATGTTTTTGTGCCTTATAGATGAATGTGAAATACCTCCGCTTAAGTTTTTTTTTATATTTTTTAAGACAGTCTTGTAGTGTTCTGGTTTGGCACTTGTACATCCTTAGTTAGATTTGTTTTTTGTTGCTGATCTCTACTAAAGTAGCCACCTTGCTAACCTTTGTTATTTCTAACAATGTCTCTAGATTATTTTGAGTTTTCTAGGTATACCATCGTATCATCTAAAAATATCAGTTTTGTTCCTTCCTTTTCAGTCTTTTTAGCTGTCTTTCTTATGGAACTATATTGACCAGGACCTATAATACAATACTGAGAAAACAGTGTTCTTTGCCTTAAAGGTACTGCTACTTAGCATTTTACTATAAAACATTATTGCTTTTAATAGGCTTAACTAAGTAAAAGGAGGTGGGAAATATCCCTTCAGTTGGGAAATTAATCCCTTTTTTGGGGATTTCAGAAACAAATTTTGAAGTTTTAGTTTAACAAATGATTTTTATTAACGTCACTTTAATTTCTTTTTTAATTGCAGATTTGCTGTTGCTGAGTCTGATTGTAGTTTAGCAATTGCCTTGAATAGGAGTTACACAAAGGCTTATGCAAGACGAGGTGCTGCTCGATTTGCTTTGCAAAAATTAGAGGATGCCAAAAAAGGTATTAATATTTTCCAGATCATCGTTATCTAAAATAAAATCTTTAATCATTTAATTTAATAGATGTTATACAAAGAATATTGGATAATCAGAGTTATTACCTTCAGAGAGTTTTCTATATATGAATAAAGTTCATTTTTGTAATTTAAAAAGTTACCTTGATATTTTTGGAAAGAATGCATTATTTGCCAGCAATGAAATTTTGGTTCAAATTCTCATTCCACCATGTATTAGCTGTGTGACCAGGGAAAGGTTATGTATCGTCTCTGGTTTTCAGTTTCTCATCTGTAGAATAGATGTTGGCTATTGTGAGGTTATAGTTAATGATTGTAAAGCTCTTAATATATTTTTATTTATTTGTAATTTGTCAGCATTTATTATTCCATAAAATTGGTATGTGAAATATAAATTATTGTCTGAATAAAGGTGATATCTAAAAGATTCTTAAGCTTTTGGTTTTATGACATATGAATTATCATAGCAAGAATCCTTCCTGGTGGAAGAAATGGATCTGTCAGGATTTTGTCTGTCTTCGGAGAGAATAGAGTGAGCCCAGTAGTCTAATGTTAGTATTTCTTAGTTTCTCTTAATTTTGCTATTGGACAGTTGCCTATTTGTCACATGTCGCAGCAAGTAATTATTGTTTTTAAATATGTACCTTTCAAGTATTTTTTATCCTCTCTTTTACTCAGATTATGAAAAAGTATTAGAACTGGAACCAAATAACTTTGAAGCAACAAATGAACTCAAGAAAATTGATCAGGTAAACTAGTTACTTAAATTAGCTGCATTACTTATTAGCTTTATATGATGAAGTAAGGGTTTTAGCATAGACTTTGTACTATAGATTATTTAATATAGACATTATTCTAATTTTAATTTTTTGTACTATAGACTTTTACCAAACAACTTGCAAATAAGAGGTAGTATAATGGTATTTAAAGATCCTTAATCATCATTTTAAAAAGTTGTCTGAGATCTTTAGAACTACTGTGCTTTACTTTTTTTTCCCGAGGTGACAGAATTATTTTTCATTATCCCACTAATTTTCTTTTGTTTTGCTTTGTTTTGATTTCTGTACTAAACTTTTGCATATTTCTTTGATTTTTAAGTTGTTGCATCTTTGTAGTTTATATCATAGCATATTTATGTACTATTTTTTTTAATAGTAAGAAAATAGTTATATAAATGTAAAATTTGCTTCAAATGATACTGAACAGTTACATATTCCTTTCACTTTGCTGTTGAATCAGTTATCATTATTTTGTCATCTATTGAAACTATGAGAAAAAAGTGACACTGATTAAGGAAAATCTGCTTTTAAATATGGCCATTATTTATTGCACATAAAAACCTGTTGGTAAATATATCAACTTGATTGTAATTGTGAACCGTGCTGTATATTTTTGCATTTTGTCCTAAATCAAATAATGACTATGAAAATTAAATTTGAGAATTTGGTTATGTGATCGTAATTACCTATTTTCTTTTTGAAAATAGTTCCTTGAACAGTAACTGGCCTGTGTAGAAATTCAATAAATATTTGTTGAATAAATAAACAAGCACCTACCTTTAGTGGATACTACTTATTTTAATTGGAATAAGATGCACATTAAATTTATTATAGTCTTTTGCCTTTTATTTAATAAGTAGAAAGACTTTGAATTAGTAAAAATATTATTTTGTGAAATGTAGCAAAAATTCCAATATATTTGAGTAATTTATTATTTTAGAGTCAAATATGTATGCATCTTGCATTACCTGTTTTAGTTTAGCTGCTATGTCTCCTAGGCTTTAACATCCAAAGAAAACTCACACCCAAAGGAAGCTGACACAGTGATTAAGTCAACTGAAGAAGAGAAAAAACAAATTGAAGAGCAGCAGAATAAGCAGCAGGCCATTTCAGAGAAAGATCGGGTAATCCACCATATATATGTTTTGCTGAGTTTACTCTTAGTTTCTTATATATCAGTTAAGGTTTTGTCTTTTCTAATATTACATTAAAATTTTTTTTTCAGTAGGAACTGAAAATTAAATAAATATAATAAAACTTCTGAAGCCTACTAGTTCAAAATTTGAGTAATTGATGACTTAATACATAATTTTAAAAAACATTTAATTTTAGGGAACAAATTACTTTTGAGCATTTTTTTAAAAAATATATTTTATTTATTTTTTACAGAGAGGAAGGGAGAGGGATAGAGAGTTAGAAACATCAATGAGAGAGAAACATCGATCAGCTGCCTCCTGCACACCCCCTACTGGGGATGTGCCCGCAACCAAGGTACATGCCCTTGACTGGAATTGAACCTGGGACCCTTCAGTCCACAGGCTGACGCTCTGTCCACCGAGCTAAACCAGTCAGGGCTACTTTTGAGCATTTTAACATATTTACTAGTACATGTAGTTATAGATTTAACAGAAATAAATTATAATTTGTTCTTATAATTATTTTCATTAGTTCACACTAGACTATCTGCTAAAAAAATTACAGTAGAAATCCTGAGTTGAGTTTTAATTTAATATATTTACAGCTTTTCATGGACCCATAGAAGACTCCTAATAAATACTTATGGAATGATCATTGATTGTGATATACCTGACTTCGATTATAAGTAAACGTTACAATAAAATCTAGTATACACATTTCAATACAGCTTAATTTATCCTATGTTTAGGTTTATTAATGCTACTGAAGAGTGAGTTGTTCAGTTCTGATACTCTGTTCTTTCACAAAAATTATGTGAGTTACAAACATCTTTCGTACAGCTTCTAAATAACTAAAGAGTATAATATTTGGGCCTCTTTATTAAAATGTGTTTAAAGTTGAGCTTTGTGTAATACCTAATTAGTATAATAATGGTTAATGATACAGAGTAATAGAGTAGTGTACTTTTTTTTTGGAGCTGAAGAGAATAATAACATTCTATAAAACAATTCAAACAAATTCTAAAACATGTATCATGGACTAGATTTTTAACAATTAAAATATACTTTAATTATTTATATAATAAACTGGTGAGTAGTGTCCTTCTAGTGAATTCAACTAATTTTTTTGCATCTGTTTTCATTCTTCTCCATACTTCTTTCCAAAATGATAGGGGAATGGATTTTTCAAAGAGGGAAAGTATGAAAGAGCAATTGAATGCTATACTCGAGGAATAGCAGCAGATGGCGCTAATGCCCTTCTTCCAGCTAACAGAGCAATGGCCTATCTGAAGATTCAGAAGTAAGTATTGGTTACATTTAATGCTTTTCAGGTTGAAAATGAAATTTACCTTAAATTGGCATATTGGCTAAATAAATTAAAATTTGTTTACTCTTAAGCATTAAAATTAAAATAGAGAGAAGAGAGAGAGAGAATGTCATAGTACATATTAAGTATATTTAGCTCTCATAAATGTTTTTCCACTTTAATAGTCTGGCATTACACTTTTAAATTGCTTTATGCATGTTGTTCTGAATTAGTGATTTGAAAGTTATTTTTAACTTTAGAATCCTTTGGGCAAAATCTTAATCTGGAAGTAGTCTTTGTATATATACTTATATGTATATTTATACCTACACATATATAACAAAAGGGAATTGCTGTCATTGAAACTGCTAATTGATTATATATGAACTAAAACTTGGTTTCTGGATATTCTCAGGGGCTCCAGGCTGGGCAATCAGCAGGGTAACATCTGATGGCAGAATCTATGTCTTATATTTCTTTGTATCTTTGTAATAATATTGTACACACTAGTGACAGAATTTTTTTTAAATGCTATAAATATTATAAATAGGAATTAAAAAAATTTTTTTTAAATATATTTCTTTATTGATTTCAGAGAGGAAGGGAGAGGGAGAGAGAGATAGAAACATCAACGAGAGAGAATCATTAATCGGCTGCCTCCTGCACACCCCCCACTGGGGATGGAGCCTGCAACCCGGGCATGTGCCCTTGGCCGGAATTGAACCTGGGACCCTTCAGTCCGCAGGCCGACGCTCTATCCACTGAGCCAAACCGGCTAGGGCGGGATTTTAAAAATTTTTTATGCCATGGACTCCTTTGATTGCACTGTGAAATGTTCTCAAAAATTATTAAATGTATAATTAATTTTACATTTAGGATTATAAAGGAAACCAATTATATTGAAATATAGTTTTAAAGATATTAAAATTTGTGATATCCTGATATATATACTTTTTAAAACACATTATGTAATGAGAAACTACATTTAAAATATAGGCAAGTTAAAATTAAAAGTTTTTAAAAGATGTTAATGTGAAGACTTGAATAAGGACACTAGAATTTGGGGTGATCTTTGACACATCTTCCACATATTGATTAACTAATGAAGTGTGGGTAAGGAATACACAGAAATCAGCATTGATAATTATGTTACTAGTGTGATAACATGACTTCATTCTTTGCCATTTGAGTGACTCCTAGGGATAGAATTGTGTGGTTGTTGGCTAGCTATGACATAGGAGCGTCTATAAACAGGGATACTACTAGGGGCCCAGTGCATGAATTCGTGCACCTTGAAAGGAACTGTGGGCCGCAAGGCTGCACTGGGCACAAGGGTGGGTCTCAGCCCATCCTCCACGCCCCCGGTCTCCTGTCTGCCAGCAGCCCTGCTCCCGCCGCTGTCGCTCCCATGCGCTAACAGCGCTTGCCCCACTCGCACCCCCTGACAGCATGGAGCGATTGGGGCCAGTGCCAGCAGTGGGTGTGATCAGCAGCTGCTGCCCCGATTGCCCCTCAGGAGCAGGGGGAGGTGGAGAAGTCCTCAGAGGCGATCGGGGCTGGCTGCCGCTGCTCCCACCTGCTGATGGCACTGAGCGATTGGGACCAGTGCCAGGCTCCGGCAGCAGGTGTGAGTGGCAGCTCCGGTGCCGGCAGCTGGTGCAAGCACCAGGCGGGACCACAGCACGTGGGAGCAAAGAATTTTCAGTAACCACCAGAGGCTCACCCTGATGACAGCGATCGGTGCCCCACCTTGGTTTAGCGCCCTTGTTCACCTGCTCCACCATCTGACTGTGGCTAACGCCTGCCATGTTCTGCGCTCTGCCACCTGCTGCCAATGCCCGCCATGTTCCGCACATGCCCCCTGGTGGTCAGCACATGTCATAGCAACTGGTTGTTCAGTTGTTTGGTTATCCCACCGTTTGGTGTATTTGCATATTAGCCTTTTATGATATAGGATAGGATGATCACATGCAGACAAGTAGCAGGTTAAATTGCTACTGTAATTCTGCAATGGTGATATCTCAAAACAATTTGTGAGATATCTGTCACAAATATAATGTGATATGAAAATATCTGTAATTTTTATTGGTGACAAAGGCATAGGTACTGCTTTTACTACTGTGTTTTGTTATCTATAGTTATAATAAAAAGAAAAGTGAAAGTTTATTTAAAAGTTAGTGAAAATAAGGATGTAATGTTTTTCCCATCTAAGTTTTCAGATTTCTCAAAGGGCCTCAAGTTAGGAACCCCTATCATAGAAGTAAATTTTGGTTGTATATTTAACCTCATTGAATCTAAAAGACATAACTAGAGATATATTATTTTGATTAGTCAGAGTAAAGATCATTGCATGTCTTGCTAGCTTATGAAAATTTTGTTTTTTGCTATTCAAGAATTGTGCATGATTTAAAAATTGTAAGACCTGGATTCCTAGGTTTGACTAATGCCAAGAATAATAACTTCTTATAGGTGACAAATTATATCTACATTTATGTGCGCTCTAATTTATTGTATTATTATATTGTTTTAGTTGATAATCACATTAGTATGTTATAGTAAGTTAATGGTATGTTTTAAATTAAATATGACTCTTATTTGTATTTTTTTTCTAGTGTATCTTTTAGATGCACACTTAATACAGAAGTTTTCTCCACCACATGGTGACTGTTGTCAGACATTACAGACTAGATGAGGAATATAAGAGGGACAACTTTCCAAACAGGAATTTGAGCTGAACTGAGATCTAAAGGGTTAGTCTGAGTTAGGGAGGTGAAAAAAACAGGTGTCCCAGTGGAGTTCACAGGCTCAGGAGTGGGAAATTTCATGGTAATTTCTGGAAAGGGCAAGTGGTCCATATTATTGCTGTTACGCTGGGGATAATGCAAGGATAAGGCTGGAGAGTCAGGCAGGCTCCTGACTTTGTGTTCTGCACAGGAGGTTGACTTTATCCTGAATAGTGTGAGGGCTATGCAAGTATCATGGTTGGGAGAATGATAAAATCAGTCAGGTAGAAAACATATCGGTAAGGGAATAGACGCACGTGCACACACACACAGAAAGATATTCTTTCTCTCTTGTTGAAAAACAAATTCAAGAATTCAGAAATTTTTAAGTTCATTAGAAAATCTGTTCAGAGCAGGTCTTGTATTGAGGGTATAATGATATTCACTTAGGCCTTGGGGAGAATGTAATCACAGGGGATTCTTTTTAAAAAGTATTTTTATTATGAAACTTTTCAAACTTTCATGAAAGTGCTATAAAAAACTCCATGTATTAAGTCATCTAGTTTCAAAAAGCCATAGCTTATTTTTATCATATTTGTCTCAGCTTTTTTTTTTTCTCCTGAATTGTAAATAGTTGCAGACATTATGACATTTTATCCCTAAAGGATACTTCAGGTGTAACCACAATACCGTTATCATACCATATAAATTAAAAATAATTTATTAATGTTATTTTAACATCTGTGGACCAGTAGTTTTATTGCTAGCTCTACCCAGTGGCCAGATAAGATCCTATTGAACGAGTACAAAAAATGTTTTACATAAATGTTAAAGACACACTTTAAAATTAAATACCCATTGCATTTTGAAGTTATTTATTACGTGTTCTGACAAGCTAATATCTTTTTAAAGAATTCTTGTGATTAGCCACAAGCCTTAGAACAGAAAACACGAGAATTCTCAAGATCCGTCTGCAATGTGTTAATATATAGGGTCTCAAGTTATTGTGTTTTAGCTCTTAGTGCCTTGTTATCATAGAGCAGTACCCAGTCAGACTGAATTGATTGTTGGTTGCATGGCTGAGTAGGATTTATGAAGTGTTGATGATATACTTACAAATATATAATGTTTTGTGGGTTTTTCCTTGGGTGATGTGTACTATAGGTAAAAATGGAGTCCTATATAATAAAAGCCTAATATGCTAAGTGTACAGTTGTTCGGTTGGCTGTTCAACCAATCAAAGCGTAATATGCTGATGATATGCTAAGGCTACTCAGCCGCTCGCTATGATGTGCACTGACCACCAAGGGGCAGACAGTCGACCGGTTGTCCAGTCACTATGATGTGCACTGACCACCAGGGGGCAGATGTTCCAATCGGTAGGTTAGCTTGCTGCTGGGGTCCCACCGGTCAGGACTGAAACGAGACAGGCTGGACATGCCCTGGAGCCCTCCCACAGCCCCTCTCCGGCTGGCCAACCTCCTGTGTCCCTCCCCCGCCCCAATTGTGCACTGGTGGGGTCCCTCGGCCTGGCCTGCGCCCTCTTGCAATCCAGGACCCCTCGGATGTTGGATAGCCGGTTTCGGCCTGATCCCGCGGGCCAGGCCAAGGGACCCCACTGGTGCACGAATTCATGCAACGAGCCTCTAGTTTTATTAGAAAATTAATGCCAATTGTTAATGCAGTGTGTGCTTATTGAAGGTGGACGGGGGGCAGACTTCCAGCAGTACTATTCTTTTGTCTGCTCTACTCGTATTTTTGCCATCCTAATTCCATCCTTTTCTGACTTTTCTTTAATCTGGTACCTTCTCCCTCCTTAGCAGATGATTCCAAGATTTGGTGAGAATATAAAATTTTATAATTGTCTTTTCCCTCAAAACACAGATATGGGGTTGATATTTGAAATTATATGCATGCTTTTTTATATTAGAAACTCAGCTTATATGAAGTTTTTCTATAGGCTGCATTTTTCCAGTTGGTAATTGTATTATGTTTAATAGATATGAAGAGGCTGAAAAGGACTGCACACGAGCTGTTTTATTAGATGGCTCGTATTCTAAAGCTTATGCCAGAAGAGGAACTGCAAGAACATTTTTGGGAAAGTTAAATGAGGCCAGACAAGGTATGACTATTTTTATAACAACTGCCACTCACTCATTCTGACGAGACTCCCAAGTTATAGAAGCAGAGATTTGCGTAGTCTTCCCATGGTTCAAGGATACAGAATTTAGAGAAAGATATACATGTTTTCTTCTCAGTTTAAATCATGAATATGTATGCAGATTTGAAGGAATGCAGCTTTAATAATAGACCTGATTATCTTTTGAGAGCATACAGTACAATCTGGCTAGTTGCCAATCAAAATTAGTAAAGATTTGAATTATAGCCCTAACCGGTTTGGCTCAGTGGATAGAGCGTCGGCCTGCGGACTGAAGAGTCCCAGGTTCGATTCCGGTCAAGGGCATATACCTTGGTTGCAGGCACATCCCCAGTAGGGGGTGTGCAGGAGGCAGCTGATTGATGTTTCTCTCTCATTGATGTTTCTAACTCTCTATCCCTCTTCCTTCCTCTCTGTAAAAAATCAATAAAATATATTTAAAAAAAAGATTTGAATTATAGGTGAGAAGGAAAAAAGCAAGACAAAGGCAAGAATGAAAAGGAAGGGAATCAGCAGCTGGAGGTAGAGGATAATGTAGTCTGTAGTGATGCCCCACCCCCCCTTATTTTTTTATACTTGTTATTTTATTTTTCCTTGATCTGTCTTTTAAGTATTTATTAGTCTTTTTGAAGAACCAACTTGTTTCTATTGTGTATGTTTTCAATTTTATTTATTTCTACTCTATTTCCTTCCTACAACTGTCTTGATTTAATTTGCTGTTTTTCTAATTTTTTAACATCAATACCTAGATCAGGGGTCCTCAAACTACGGCCCGCGGGCCACATGCAAATACAAATAGTGTATTTGTTCCCGTTTTGTTTTTTTACTTCAAAATAAGATATGTGCAGTGTGCATAGGAATTTGTTCATAGTTTTTTTTTTAAACTATAGTCCGGCCCTCCAACGGTCTGAGGGACAGTGAACTGGCCCCCTGTTTAAAAAGTTTGAGGACCCCTGACCCAGATAATCAATTTCAGTCTTTTTTCCTGATCTATGCATTTAATTCTCTCAGTTTTTCTCTAAACCTGGCTTCAGCTGTAACCCATGCATTTTTTTCGTTATGGTAAAATACACATAACATAAAACTTACTGTTCTAACCATTTTTAAGTCCATTGGCATTGAGTCCATTTACATTGTGTAACCATCACCATTGTTCATCTCCAGAACTTTTTCATCATTTCATTCTGAAAACTCTACGCATTAAACAGTAACTCTCCATTCCCCTTTTTTTCCAGCTCCTCAGAACCACCATTCTACTTTCTACCCCTGAATATGACTTTTCTAGGTGTTTTATATAAGAATTATACAGTACTTTGTCCTTTTGTGTCTGGCTTATTTCTGTTAGTATAATGTCTTCAAGGTTCATCTATGTCGTCGCATGTATCACAACTCCTTTTTAAGGCTGGATAATATTAGATTCTATCTTACATTTAGTGAGTTACCTTGTCATTTGTTAGTAGTGTGGGCTTTGGTAAGTTAGGTGACCTGTAGGCCTCAATCGTATCATCTGTAAAGTGGGGTTATAGTGAGGAATACATCAGAATTCATATAAAGAATAGCACTCAGTAAATGTTAGTCCTTGTTGTTGTTCACGTGTTTCCTAGCATCCTGAGTAAAACTTCCTGAGATAAACATGGGGTTACTAAACCAACTAAACATATCATGTCTTGAACTTTATAAAGTATTTCCACTAATTTATTATATTTCTTAAAAATTCACTTTAGATTTTGAAACTGTTTTGCTTCTGGAACCTGGAAATAAGCAAGCAATAACTGAACTTTCCAAAATTAAAAAGGTAATATATTATTTTCACCAATATATACTTTCGTTTCTGCAACTTAAACACATTTATTTGTTGCATAATTAACTTGAGAATATTTTTATAGTCATGATTACAAATCTGTTTTTAAGGAATTAATTGAGAAAGGACACTGGGATGATGTCTTTCTCGATTCTACTCAAAGGCAGAACGTGATAAAACCCACTGGTAATCCACCTCATCCTGGATCAGCTGTAAGTGAAACACTGTCTGTCTTTTTCTTTCTTGGTATGTAAATATCTGTGTGGTATGAATAAGAGTAGGAAACAAACTGTTGAATTAAAATCTCTTAAAGACCAGTGATGTAGATCAGCTAAGCAAGGGCCTGGGGTTCCCTGATTGGTAGTAAATGAAAGTTTTCCCTTATCTCTTAGTCTCTGCTAAAATATTTATTTTCATTTTTCTGTATTCCCACATCAAAACTTCACCTTTCTTTTTGGTCCTTAGCCTTTTCTTTCTCCCTTTCTGTTTATTCTTCTCTCTCTCTCTCTCTCTTTTTTTTTTTTTTGAAATAGCCATTATACAGAGCTAAATAAAATGTTATGTCTCTAACTTTTAATTTTTAAACAGTAATGAATTGAACCTTTCATATCTTTTCATAAATCTTTCTATAGTGGTATCTTCTGAGTTTTACTTCTGTTCATACTGTCATTCCCCCATCCCTGGTCTACTGTTAACAGAGACTATCTATTTGGAAATTTGTTAATTAGAATCAATGCTTACACATCTAATGTCAATGAAAGTATTTGTTTTTAAATGATAGTGTATTGATATAATTCAATAATTATTGCCTGTCAAATTATAGTCTATTTTTTAAACACTAATACATGTCCATTCTTGATTAATATCTTGATCGTTATCTATTGCTGATGATAGTTCTCAGCAAAGCAAAGGCCTTAGCTTAACATGATTATCTTTTAAAATAGAACTGCTAACAGGATTCTTTTAACAAATTTGCTAACAGCTTTCTTATTTATGTGCATTTATCCAGTAACAATTTTTCCCATTAGGTCTTAGCTTAGCAATGTTAATAGAATGTCTGGTTTTAACGTTGAATTTAGTAAATATGTCAAAAGTGTTTATATTTATAACTTTTTTATTTAAAATTTAACTATACAATTGAATTGAACACTTACATTATACTGAAAGTTTTTTTGTTAAAAATAAGAGTACAATATGGAAACTTTAGAAGAAATTGAAAATGTTTGATACTTGTAATGATTGAAATAGTGAATGGTTTTTTATTAAAAACCATTATTATGGTCAAGTACTTACCAAGTTTGTGATTATTATTTGGCAAACTTTTAATCCTGAGCTGGCTTTATCCAGCTTCTTATATAGAAAATGTATTCAGGTTTTATTTATTACTAGAGGCCTAGTGCACGAAATTTGTGCACTTGCCGGGGGGTTCCTCAGCCCGGCCTGCACCCTCTCGCAGTCTGGGAGCCCTTAGGGGATGTCCGACTGACAGCTTAGGCCCACCTCCCGGACATCCTTAGTGCTGCCGCAGAGGCGGGAGAGGCTCCTGCCACTGCCGCTGTGCTTGCCAGCCGTGAGCCCGGCTCAGGGCTTCTGGCTGAGTGGCACTCCCCCTGTGGGAGCACACTGACCACCAGGGAGTAGCTCCTGCATTGGGCGTCTGCCCCCTAGTGGCCAGTGTGTGTTATAGCAACTGGTCGTTCTGCTGTTCCGCTGTTCAGTCGATTTGCATACTAGCCTTTTATTATATAGGATTATTATTAAAATGTATTTTTATTGATTTCAGAGAGGATAGGAGAGGGAGAGAAGATAGAAACATCAATGATAAGAGATAATCATTGATTGGCTGCCTCTTGCATGCCCGTTTCTGGGAATTGAGCCTACAACCCGGGCATGTGCCCTAACCCGGAATCGAACTGTGACCTCCTGGTTCATAAATCTTTCTATAGTGGTTGATGGTCAACCACTGAGCTACACCAACCAGGTGTATTCAGGTTTTAATGTTGGTCTGTTTCATACAGAATGCTGGCTATTGCCTAGCCTTGTTTTTCTTGCTTTCAGTTAGCCCACAATACTGTTGTCAGTTTGGTAATATTTTTTCTTGGCTTTCTTGCCTCTAAAATAAAGTCCAAACTCCTTGATATGGCACACAAGTCTCTTTATAAGCAATTTTTAATGAGCCTTTCAAGCTTTGTCTCCCATCACTTATCCCCTTGTACCAGTGCCATTGGACTTATCACCTTTTCACTGACCATACATACCATGGTTAATCTTCCACATTGCCATTCTTGTGTACTTTTTCTAAGAAGTCTCTGCTAATGCCAGTGTTTTTCTACCTTCCTCTGTGTTCTCTTATAGGTTTGTATCCTATTGCTTGTAATTATTTATATATACATCTTCTTTCCTCCATTTAGACCTACATTTGGTAGGTGCTATGCATCTTTTTATTTGTGTTCTCAGAGTGTGACTCCTAAGTCTGTCTAGCCATCAAATTGAATTTTTTTTATAACTGGGATATTGGCTGTAAGAACACAGCAACCTTTTAATTTGTAATTCTAAAATAGAAAAACTTTATGTGTTGATTTAAGGAATTGATTTTAATTGTTTTAGAAACCCCTCAAGAAGGTGATTATTGAAGAAACTGGTAATTTGATACAGACTATTGACATGCCAGAGAGCACTACTGCTGCTGCTCCAGAAAGTAATCCTATTAATGTAGCAGATGTAACAGCAACCACAGGCACTGCAAGTAAGAAGAATTCAAGCCAAGATGACCTTTTGCCCACGAGTGATATTCCAAAAGCAAAAGTATTGAAAATAGAAGAAATCAGTGAGACTTCAGCCCTCCAGTAAGTAGAACTGTTGTTATTTGATAATCTCTAGAATTGTAAAGCCAGACCCAGGATTTAATTCCACTAGAAAATTGATATTACCAATGAGAGTTTTGGTTTATACTCATCACTGTAATTTTTTTAACTACCCAACTTCATGTTCTAGTTTTTCTTTTTTATTTGTTCTGACTCATCAGAGACGTTTTGCGTAAGGAATGATCACTGTTCCTTTACCATAGTGGGGAATTTAGAGATAATAATAAACTGTCTTTAACAAGTTGGTTGTGTTCATTTCCCCCCTCAAACTTCAGTATATTGTTTCCCTTCTTAATTCAGCAAAAAATTTAATTTTTTAAGAGGAAGCTCTAAAAAACGTAGAATTTAGACATTTACATTATTCTAGCCATTCATATTTAAGATTATTTATGGATTGTTTTAAAAAAATTTTTTTAATGTATACCGCAACCCGGGCATGTGCCCTTGACTGGAATTAACCCTGGGATCCTTCAGTCCACAAGCTGACACTCTATCCACTGAGCCAAACCAGCCAGGACTTGTTTGGAATTTTTAAAAATAGTGATGTGTTTCCTTGATCTATATATATAAAAGCCTAATATGCTAAGTGTCTGACCATTCAACCAGTCGCTATGACGCACACTGACCACCAGGGGGAAGACACTCCGAGTGGTAGATTAGCTTGCTGCTGGGGTCCAGCTTATGGGGACTGGGCGAGATGGGTCAGACACACCCTGGAGCCCTCCCGCAGCCCCTCCCCAGCCCTGATCTTGCACCAGTAGGGTCCCTCAGTCTGGCCTGCACCCTCTCACAATCCGGGACCACTTGGCGGATGTCAGAGAGCCGGTTTTGGTCTGATCCCCGCAGGCCTCTAGTGAGAATATAAAAGATATAGACTAGGTTTGTTTTGGGGTCTTGAAATTTTATTCATATATTATTGTATTGTACTCAACAATTCTATTGGAATTTTTTTTTAACTTTGAATTTTAGTAGTAATTCTATTTAAAGTGATCGTATGGATTGTGAGAAAACACTAAATAGGTAGTTTTGTTTGTTTTTTAAGAAAGCATTTTTTCCTTCTCAGAATATCTTTCTTGAAACTTATAATTCAGATTTCTGAAAGGCTGAGTTGTAAGTATATATGATGTAGTAATGCGGTATATAGAAATGGTGTGCTCAAAAAGTGGCCAGGCTAATAGCCCAGCAAATGAGAATAGTCATTGTGTAGCATGTGAAAATTTGCAGAGGCGTGTCTTGCAAAAAAATATACATATGTTATCAGCTGAAAGAGTTCAGTATTTTTAGAATGTAAATAGATAATATAATATTAGTTAAATCAGAAATTTAAAAATCTCTATTGATGCTTTCTTATAATAAGCTTTGACTTACAGACAAACGGGGGGTGAGGGCATGAGTGGGGGAGATAGGGGGTAATGTGGGGATAAGGACACATACGTAATAACTTAATCAATAAAAAAAATAAGCTTTGACTAATTTTGGTTCTTTTCAATTGTTTGACTGATGTCTCTGCAATATTTCAGATCTCAAGTTAATATGAAACAGGATGTATGTCAGTCTTCCCGTGAAAAGATTTCTATAGAGGGAGACAAATTGACTGCTCAGTTTATCACAACTGTTCTTCCTCCAGTTCCTGCAAACTCATTCCAGCTTGAATCTGATTTTAGACAATTGAAAAGTTCTCCAGATATGTTATATCAGTATTTGACGGTAAGAAAGAAGAAGCTAGTAGTTCTGTTGTAAACAAAAGGTCAAAGACTGTCTTTGTCACTCACTGTATAATAATAGTGTTATATTTGCTCTTTGTATTGTATAACATGATTGTAGAAAATGCTCTTATTATCCCTTACCTGACACATGTATCACCCTGGCCAGACCATTTTATTTTATTTATTTTATTTTATTTTTTCAATTTTTAATTCATTTCAGAAAGGAAGGGAGAGGGAAAGAGAGATTGAAACATCAGTGATGAGAGAGAATCATTGATTGGCTGCCTCCTGCCCACTGGGGATTGAGCCTGCAACCTGGGTATGTGCCCTTGACCAGAATCGAACCCGGGACCCTTCAGTCCGCAGGCCAACGCTCTATCCACTGAGCCAAACCAGCTAGGGCTGACCAGACCATTTTAAATATTTGCAATCAGGGAACCTTTGGAAATAGGTTCTGTTTTGAATTCTCTTCTCTAAAAATAACTTAATCTGATTTCATATATCATAACTTGAACTTCTTCATCCTTCAAGATGGGGAAAGAAGCTAAAATACATTAGATGCCTTCTTTGTGTCAAGTAATGCTTGCAATATTTAGATAGTCATTCTCCTGAAAATGAGATTTCATTGGCTCCAAGAAAAAGAATCAGCCCTGGCCGGTTTGGCTCAGTGGATAGAGCGTCGGCCT